AAAGTTCAATACATGTAACAGCTTTCCTTGGTCTGTGAGTCTAATTATGTTTTTTTAAATTTTAGGCTCAGGAGAAGAAAAAAAAAAACCCTTCCGGGACCGGGATTCGATGCCGCGCTTAGAAGCACTGAACATTAATCTAGACTTAGTCCTAGCGAACGTAGACAGCTTGTATACAATGTACATGTATACGTTCTCTAGGCCTAACTTAAAGATAATATTTTTAGGTAGATCTATTGTATAACAACACTGCGGACAGGAAATACTGCCGCCTATACCGAGTTGCACCGTCTTGTTATTAAATTGTTATCCAAGCGTCTTTCGACTTACTTGCCCAAACTCCAAACTCAAATGATTATGATTATGAGAGACGAACAAGACTACGTCTAGAATCTAGTCTACTTTTGTGCAAACAATGTCAGAAACAATTGTTAGATCTAATGGAGATCTAGATTCTAGGTCTACCCAATATTGATCGGAATAGGACAACGTCATAAAAAGAAGTCAAACCCTAGGAGGTTTATCAAGAAACTGAGAAAGCTTCCACAATTCAGGCAGAACTACAATATTATCATGTAGAAACGACCAGCTGCACAGTAAAAATTTTTCAACCTCATGCTGTTCCCTTCGTTTTCTTTTGAACTCGGATTGTTTTGTGTGGAGTTTTCAACCCATTTGGTTGTTCTTTCTGGTTGGTACACTTCTTCGTTTTCTGATTAACTGTTGTTGTTTTTTCTTTCTCTCTTTTTCTTCTGATTTAAAATAAAATATTTGGTAAGTGTTTTACACGCTTGCAATTGCATAAGGTCATATGAGAGCACAGGACACGTTAAACAATTTCATTTGGTAGAAAATTTTGAATTTTGCCGGGTTGGCGGCCGAAGCCTATTCTTATCGATTTTGAACTGCCAAGGGATCTTTAATGTACTCAACTTTCACTCGAGACCTCCGAGATTTTTCGCCCTTATCCGAGAAGGTCAGGAGTTGGATCTTACCATCCATAAGATCAGGGGTGTGGCTAAAAGACAGCAGTAAGAAGGAATCAAGGAATAGCAGTAGAAATTTAAGGCTGCAGAAAGAGTCAGGAGCCAAGAGGAAGGGGCAAACGAACGAGGTGAGGGGGTGGGGCAGAAAGAGCGAGACGAAATCAGACGACATAACATTGTTAGAGAGCAGGAAAGGAGGTGAAAGGAGAGCATTTTAGAGACAAATATTTTCCGTCGCCATCCAGATTCGAACCGGGGACCTATGGAATGAGAGGAAAACACCCTAACTTCTGGACTACGAGAGCCCTCCGATGATGATCTGTTTGCACTGTATGTTTGGCTACTTCTGGTGTTGGTTTTATTCATTGTCACGTGACCTTCAAATGATCATTAGGGTGGGTTTTTACTGTTTTGTTCTTCGCTTTACTACACTTCCTCATAGGTTACCCTGTCTATCCATCTGATCCCGAGCAACCTTTTTAGACATTTAATTTTGTTCCAAAAAGTTGGGGAAAATATCCTGTGCCCTCTAATAGATGTAGTTACCTTTATAACCAATAGATTATGTGTACCACGTGTATCAAACCTTTATCTTACACAGATTTAATTTTTTTGGTGGCCCTTAAAAGGGCCTAGTAAAAAAATGTTAAGATTGTTTTTTCTTGCTGAAACAGGTTTCCATTTTCCTTCCAGGAGAAGCACGGGTCGATCTTGTGGTCGTGGGCGGAAAAGAAAGAGAATGACGTTCTGCAACAAAAAATCTATCAGGATAAGATACTATTGAAGACCACTCGACGCAGGCTTCAGCTTTCAGGATCGTTTCACCTGCTTCACACCGCTGCGCCCTCGGCGCTCTCCATGGATGTGAAGAGCGCCACTACGGCGGCCAGTACTTGTGCCTCAATATCTTCTTCTTGCGGCGGGTAGTCGGCCGATGATTCAGAAAGAGACGAGTCAACACAAGGAAACATCTCCTCGATTTCCTCCTCCGTAGGGGTTGGCATTAAATGGAAAATTCGAGGGTCCCATACATGGAGCATTCTGATTTTATCGTGCTCCTCTTCCTGTATGGGAGAAACAGTGAATTGTTCTGACCTCAAAGATATTATTTCGAGGTCTTCTTCACTGTCAGCCCAGCTGGTGCCGCCATAGGACAAGTCTACGAAACCACGCGGTGTCAATGGAATGACAGGCGTGTATGTTGTTTCGAAGACTACGGCGGCCGGTTCAGCTGTAGGCGAGGCCTCTTTGTAAGCATTGCCACTGGTCTCTTCCACTTGCAGAGACCTACTTCCGGAGTGGCAAGCATTTTGATCCAAGGCCTCTGTCGAATTTTGACTTTTCTTTCTTTTTTTTTCTGTAGCGGCCATCTTGCCCCCAAAGCAAGACATCAAAAGTTGTTGGACCTTTTTCAGCACCGGCATCTTGAGAGTCAGCAGGGAACCCGAGTGAAAGGCGTCGCAATCAAATGTTGTGAAAGTACGGACCTCCGGGAGTACGAGAGCCATCCTGCCAGATGACGCAATGCGCTCACGGTGGTGCAGTGAACGCGAGAGTAAATAATATTGTATAACTATGGCGTGTTCACTTTCGTCATACATGTACCGTGTTTTAAAAAAAAAGGAAGTTGTGGTGTATTAAGTCTTAAGT